TCACATTAATTTGTATACTTTTTACATAAACAATAAATTTTGAAAATATTGCGGCTTTTTTGTAAATAAATGCATGTAAATTTTTTGTAAACCTTGTATTTTATTTATTAAAACTTTCCTTATATACATAGGGATCCGCAAGAAAATTTGAGCCTCTTAGGGGATCCGCGCTTCCAAAAAGGTTGAAAACCACTGACTTAGAGATTAAGCATGAAAAGATGCACCAAAAGTGGGAAGGAAGTGTTAGAAATGGTGAGTGTTGGAAAATGTTAACTTCTGATATGATACATAACCTCTTCTCACATTTAGTTAGAATCTCATGTTGAAGTGGTGGAAGGACTAATGCAAAATGTACCTAGATGAGTCCCCTTCAGGAAGCCAACAAAGTGCAACACCCTATACAATGGAACAATATAGGGACACACCAATGAGAAACTGCACCCCATCTGTACCAGCATACACTCTTCATCCATAAAGAAGGGACATGTTGCTAGAACAAGCAGAAAATAGAAGTACAGTCCAAAACTTGCATCAAGCTCACAGAAGTGCTATTTGTGTGGTGTGACTAGGATGCATCAAATGGTGCATGATGGGTCAACTCCAGTACAAAACCAGGCAGTATCAGGAATTTGTCATCTGGTCCATGGTAGGAGGAGAGTCCTTATCATCTTCAACTCAAACTTAGTGAAGCAGAACAGGAAAGTAACATCCATCCTACAAACTAAGTGAGGGTTTATAATGGCTTTTCCTGTACCAATCCACCATCAGACTACCCAGAAACTTAACATCTGAGCAGTGGTAGGATGTGGAAAAGCTAACTGGAAGGGTGAACTGTACCACAAAGACAGAACACTACCACTCTATTATCTCCTGAGTGGAAATGGTCAAACTTAGGATGAATCCTCCATGATCCACCACCTCAACAGATAGGATTTGATGAGTGGCAAGGATTCCTGTGCTCCACTAGAAGAAAATAGGGTGAAAGTGCACTGGGGAGTCGGGTGGAATGCTTCAATATAATAGTGCAACAGGTGACCATAAATACCAGCACTGTTTTAAACTAGGCATGGAAGATGGGCAGGTACCTCTGCCTTCTTTACTCATGATAGTCCAAGAGTGGGTATGGTCTTGATTGAGCCCTGTTTAAGAGAATGAGCAACACAAGGATGCCTTTGGCTATCCTGTGGAACACCCCATCTCATATTTGAGCACTATATCAGGCCTTGGTGGCCCTACACTGTGTGGATTTTGGATAAGTATACCTTGTCAGGCACTATTTGCCAATGAGTTGGAACCAGTCAAGCAAGAGAGGGCTCTCAAAAGGGAAGAGAAAAAGAACTTACCCAGTCAGAACCAGTATAAGGTATGTAAAATGGTAACTAGAAAAAGCACACAGCCCAATGAAAAAGATGTGGCCACATGATGGAGATCATGTGCAACTTAAGTGTAAGGGTTTTCCACATGCCAGCTAAGCAGTCTCCCCCAACAGAGGACAGAAGTGAGCAGCCAAAGAGAATTTAAGGTGCCAGATTTCACGAAAAGACATTTGGAAGTGCCAAAGAGTATCCCTATCCAAAGAAGAATATGCTAAACAGATGAGTTGATGAATCCATCCAATAAGGGTAATGGGAGAAAGATTGTGAACGGAAGAGAAATTCCAAGGAATGAATAGACAGGAATGGGAACCACAAGAGCAGTGTGGGCCAAATAACACACCACATGGACAGAACAAAGTATACAATCAGAATCAGAGTGAGAAGAAAGAGAAATATAGGAATGAATGCACTGTCACCCTCATATGCCACAGACATTTTAGGGAGGAAAACATAATCAGGATAGAGAGGGATATATGAGTAATGGAAAATAATGCATGAAGAATCAATGGCATATATGTCAGATTGGCAACAACCACAGGCAAAAAGGAGGAGGAAATAGGTTTAAAGGGAAAGATGATATAAGGAACAGGGGGCCAAAGGTTAAAATGGAGGAAGTGTAAGGGCATGGAGACCAGCATTCAGGTCCCAGTTGTGAAGGACAGAAGGATAGGTAAGACGAAGGTGGGGAAAAGAACAGAAGATCATAGTGAACATCAGGGAAATAAAAACTTGACAGCAATGGGAAAACCAGAAAGTATTAGAGAGAGCCACTTGGTAACCAGAAATGGACAATACCAATAAACCCTGGTCAAAAAGCCACATGAAGAATTCAGAAATGAGGAACCTAAGGATCAGAATGAGAAAGAATGATGCAGTGACCAACTACAAAAGATATGTGACTTTTACTGATAGACAAGGAGGGAGGATGGGCAAATAGAATGAGGAAGAAAAAAGGCTACATACAAAGATAATCTGAAAGATCTTGCAAGGTATCAAACAAATCTCATGTGTGAAGTAAAAGTGTTGTGATATAAAAGACTGTTTAGTGTAGGTATTATTAATTGATTTATTTTGTGAGTGAATATTTCATTATTGTTTAGTTTTTTCATCACAAGAGAATTAAAAGCAACTTTTTAAAAATAAATGTAATGACAAGTTTAGTTACGTAACTTGGTAAAAATCATACATTGTGTATATAATTCATTGATGTTTAGGCTATGGAACGTCGAGTGAAATTTATTGAAGTTTAGGATATAGATATTTCTAAATGGCGAGCAGAGGATTAGGTGATGATTATATTAACAGTGAGAGATGAGCAGGAACAGCAGACAATAGACCATGGAGTGGGAAGAGAGCCAAAAGTAAAGCTGAGTGAAAGAGAGTTTTGGTCAGACAATGATTAGAAAATGTAAAGTTAACCATCGTAGGAGTGGATAGCCTAATGGTTGATATGTTAAAGTGAGATTAACAGTTCTCTGACATTTTAGGAGAATAATTTGTTTC